TGGGGCAAACTTTTGCTAAAGATCATAAAGACTGCGCAGGATGCGCCGGAGAGAAAAAGTGGAGAAGCCTTTTATGGAGCGACGAAACTAAAATAAATTTATTAGGGAATGAATGTGAAAGCAATGTAGGAAGCCCTAAACGAAAGAATTTTGATCCATGTTTCAAGCAAAAAATTTCTCAAACATGGAGGTGCCAGCTAAAGACATGGGGCTGCTCATCTTGGTACGGCGTAGGTCCATTTTTCCTGACAACGAACAGAATGGACGCTGAGCAATACAAATCCAGATTGCAGACAGTTATGCTACCTTATGCTGAAGAAAACATGAGTTTCCATTGGGTATTTAAGTAATATAACGACCCAAGGCACACATCTAAGCTTTTGACCAACTTTTTTGAGGACCAAACAATATACGTTTTAAAGTGGCTTCCTAAATTTTCCGACTTAAATCCAATCGAAAACTTGTGGGGAGATTTACGAAACAAAATTAGCTATGTTTTCATTTTCAAATAATCAAAAATTATGCGAGGGCGTCCAAAAATTGAGGTATGAGACACCTGCCAGACGCTTATTACAAGTACGCCAAAAATAATTATAAAGGTGACAAAAAATCAAGGTGGATACATCGGATATTAACTATAAACCCCACTTAGGCAACAAAAAAATAATATGTATCTCTGTGTCGTAATCCAGCCTTAATTGATCGTATGAGTCGGCTCAGAAGAAGTGCTCCGCAAAGCTCCAGGCGTGGCAAGGATTGCTGCTTGAGTGGAGCCACCCTTGTTTTTGCAGCCACTAAAGATACGGACACAGAGCCGTCGTCGTGTATTACTCTGCTGTAAACTACAGCAGCGTATGCCTTGATAGAAGCATCGGAGGATCCGTGCAACTCGATGTTGTCCGCGTCGTTGACAACCAAACGTGGTAGTTGAAACTGCTGCAATGTGTCGAGCCGCTAGGAATGGCGTACATGAAGTTCCGTAGGTGACGGTACATAGTTGAAAGTGCTTGATTGAATCGGTTGGATCTTCCCTCCAAACGATTCTCTGAAAATCTCGATGCTTATTGCAGACCTATATTTGGCGGAACATTTTCACAATATCCGCTGAGAATTCGAATTTGTACATTCTGAAGCGCAGGCACACAGCAAACGGATAGCGTTGAATGCTCGGCCCTGTAAAGAAAGTGTCGTTCAAAGTCTTACCATTGGCGTGGCGGAATGACCCGTCGAAAACTACTCGGAGTTTTCGACCCAACACAGGGTGGTGTGGCATGTAGAAATGTTGCCCAGAGATGATTTCTTCCGTTGGCAGTTGTCGCATGTGTCCCATGTGTGATATTCTCGCATGAAATGTATGTATTTTATTTGTAGCTGCTCATTCTGTTGCAAGCGACGTTCAACTGTTTTGAAACGCTTGAGAGCTCCTTGTAGAGTATCTCCAAATTCAGGGAGTGTGGTGTGGAATGGAAGCTCCACGATATATTTCCCATTTTCATCGCGAGTGTGTGTGGTGAGAAAGTGTTTCTCGACCTGTTCATCTTCGGGTTCAAGTTTGGTCGTGCAGTCGACGGTTCTCCAGCTCCCAAAACTTCTGGAGCGAAGCATCTATATCCAATGTTGTTATTAGTGAAATTGCGTTGCTTGCTTGGGGTGTCATGAGTGCCTTAATAACCCATCCAAAAACTGATGAAATTGCGATAAGATTGCCCTTGCTGTCATACATCTTCCTTCCTGTAAATGTAAACACAAACACGGCAGATGCCGAAAAATTAGAATTTAAATAAAAAATGTTTAAACACAAATCAAAAGTCATGCACTCGCGGAATAGAATAGATTTCTAGATTGTAGGCTGGTTAGGAAGTTAGTTAAAGTTAATTAATTATGAAAACACCGGTTGTTTATGCAAAACAAAGGGAAATATGCAAAAGAGAACGAACGAGTGGTTACAGGTGGGATCTTCAGGATGGCAACTCGTACAGCGCCATAAGCTCCAGCGATGACCTTGATAACCCGCGCGAAGGGCCACATCAACGGCGGCAAGTTTTCAGTCTTTATGCAAACGACATCGTTGACTTGGATCGAGGATTGTGGTGTGCGCCATTTGGCACGTTGTTAAAGTAAAGTCAGGTACTCCTGACTCCAACGTTTCCAAAAAATCTGCTAGGCACAGGCGAATTGCTGCCAGTGATCGAGTGGATTGAAGTTAAGACCCGTAACGTCTGGATTTGACACACCAATGTCCGCAGCTCGTCGAATCCAAAAAGTGACGATCCCAACGTGCGATAGAAATGCTGTTTGTCTTCACTGCTGCCTCCCACAAGCCGCCGAAATGCGGCGAGCGAGGCGGTAAGAATCTCCAAACAAAGCCATTGTTGATGCGACTGCGCTCATCTGGCTTGTACTAGAAGGGACCGCAGTGGTCAGTTTTCATGCCGCCGATGGGCCAAAACTGTAAGCGAATCACTCCAAGTAGCGACTGCGGACCAGCGAGGTGATGATTCCGATTGAAGTGCGTAATGATGGCGAACGCCAATGGATGATCCCTGGGAAAAATGATTGGGTGGCGTGCATCGAAGTCGAGAGTTGAGTGCCGCAGGCGGCCACCAACACGAATTAGACCAAAGTCATCTATGAAAGGCGAAAGCACGATGATTCTGCTGGAAGCCTCGACGCAGTTCACTTTCCGCATAGCCACGTACTCAGGATACCGGTGGGCTCGTTGAACGATGCGACATAATAAATGCGATTCTTTGCGAAGGTCCTAAGATGAGAGATCCGGTGACTTCGTCCTATCGATGAACTTTTGAACGAAGCCAAAGATGCGCATCATCTCTAAATGAGTTGATGTGCTTAAACGAAAATTTACGAAAACGGATGAGAGCGTGAAATATCTTGGCTTAAAAGGTGGGACTAGACATAAGCAGATCATTTAACGAAAGACCAGATGGAGTAGCTGCAGAGTCGTCGAACACGACCCTCAGCTTTGTTGTGGAGCTGTCCTCTTTGATGACGCCATGATGTGGCAAGAAATATTATCACTTGTGCCTATCTTCCTTGGGCACCAGAGACAAATGATCAAGGGACAGGTATTCCTTTATAAATGCCGAATATTTGTCATAAATATCTGGATTACGCTCGAACTTGCGCTCGAAATATTCCAGGCCCCGTCACCAGATAGAATCCATTCGAGGTGTGTCTTCTGCAGCAACGGTAATCCAGGTCCACACACACAGCAACTCAAAGAAAAGTCCGGCTCCGATGAGCAGATCAATCCACTGCGGCTTGTGGAACGAAGGGTAAGCAAGCTAGATATTTAAAGGTATAGGCCAATTAGCATTACTAATTGAGATGCAAGTGATGCTAGTGGTGAAATCTAAGCGACTTAGTTTTGCGCAGTTGAAGCTGATTAGCTAGACGAGTAGTTACGAAATGCAATTGCGAGCCCGAGTCCAACAGTGCGCGACATGGCATGAAAGTTCCAGCGCTGTTTTTGACGAGATCGACGACGGTGGCTAACAGAATAGGCTCAGACGGACGCTGGGATATATCAGCTTGTGGCGAGGAGGGTTATAATGCCACCATGGCGGTATGATTTGGCTGTGGCCCAATTGAAGAAACAGCATGAAATATCTCTGTTGGTCGAAGGAAATACAGAAGAGTGTGGTGCTGCGATTGGCAAGTACGGCAGGGACCTGATTTACAATCTTTCACGGGATAACCCTTTTGTAGGCAATTGACGCATAACAAGAGCCTCTTTGCTTCCTTGTGACGATAGAGTTTTGAACCGTTGACAATTGACAATCATATGATTCGTGCCGACTTGCCAACCTGACCATCTTGCCCTTGCATGGAGTGATGAATGCCTTCAAGGATACGACATCTTTGTTCCAGAAAAGCAGATAATTTCTAGCAGGATGGAAGATCATGATTCGACGAAGCTGCTTCCCATTTAACTTGAGGCTCCCGGTCCAAATTCTGTCAGAGTGCGTAGAAAATAACACAATCAGCTATTTCCTCCTTAGTTGCCAGCGCTTCCAACGCGCGAAAGCTGTGTGGTGTCTCTAATGTGTGCCTGTAGAATGAGACGTTTATTAGCAAATCTATTTTTGAGAATATCTAATGCTGTGTTGTAATTAGCTTCGCTCATCTCCAACGGACTAATGATGTCCAACGCCGCTCCGCAGAAACAGGACCGCAAATGCTGTAACTTCTCGATAGAAGTCAGCTCAGCTTCACTATCAATAACAGCGGTGAACATAGAATAGAAACTTGTCCGCTCTGTGTATGCTACATAGTGGATTGGGATTCACTTGGGTTCATTTGAAACGTGATACAATGCGTGGGTTGGGAACTCTTGCCCAACTCACGCTGAGTTGCGAACAAGCGAACGAGTTCAAATTCAAGAGAGAGATATGTGCAGCCTGTCACGAGAGCTGACTAAGAGCGAAGAAAACAAACGGACCACGCTTAGAACTCTATACCACGGTTGGCCACAACGATCTTTGCTAAGCTATTTTTCGGGAAATTCTACGTTAAACTTTTGAATTTTACTTAACGAACTGCATGAACACCTCTAACACACGGCAAGTCTACGGCGATCACGTCGGGGTCACTAAAATGTTGTAAGCTGTAGAGCTTTTTCGGCAACTCTGACTCCACATTTACAAATTAAAAATTTCTCCATTGTTAAGGTTATAATTTTGAGTTTATTGTTCGATGTTTTTTCTGTCTTTTTGTTAGAAGCCGTGGCCATGAACTTAGATTTAGGTGTTAGGCGCTTCGACGATGAAGAGGACTGGCAGACTTACTGACTGAAGGATCGAAGGAGTGGAGTATAAGTTATAAGAACGTTACATATGTGTGTGCGTGTATACACTGCGAGAGTACATGCAATGAGCGCGATAATAGAAAACTTAAGAGAGAAGTTCTTGACGTTACTCAAGAGCTTTTAACGGCTGCTGCTCCGAACAGTGTGCTAAATAATTTTTTCAATATTGCAGGAGCTGGAACGAGCTAGAATGGAGCAAGAAAATGTAGCAACGGAAAAAATGGATCTTGAACGGCGTCTTAAAGAGGCCCCCTCTCTGAGCTCATCAAACTCAGACTTAGAAGTGTTGCAGTTGAAAAAAGAAATTGAAATGCTGCGAAATGAATTGTCACGGGCCGAGTTCGAATTGGTTGATAACTGCTGGGCCCCACCTCCGCAGCTTCAATCATGGCTGCAATACACATATGAATTAGAAAGTAAGAATCATCAAAAAAAGCGTGCTTCTGCAGAGAAACAGCTTCAGTCAGCAAGAGAGGCATGTGAAAAATTGCGCAAAAAACGCTCGAGTTTGGTTGGAGCATTTGTGTCTACTCACGGGAAAAGTATTGATGACGTTGATCGTTCAATTGTTGAGGCACGCAATGCCCTAGGAGAAGTAACAAACGAACTACAAGAACGCCTGCATCGCTGGAAACAAATCGAGACGTGCCTTGGAATAAACATTGTTAATAACAATGGATTGTCGTATTTGGAAAATGTACTGTATGGTCGTAATGGAGGCTTACAAGGTTCGATTGGTGTAAGTGGTGCAAAAGGCTCAAGAAGTACGTATATATATTTTTTTAAATTTTATTCGGTACTAATCCGATAGGTATCGTTAATATTTATTGTTTGTTATAACAGCACGAATTACTAGCAGTACTGATGACCTAGATGACGAGTCTGTGCAAGGTAAGCTGAACTTTGAGAACTTTTCACTGCTCGCAACGGAATAAACCTGCTGCGTCCGATTGCCACAGGCAAAACAATACAGCGCAAACAAACTGACAACTTACAAAAAGTAAGAAACAGACCAGGATTGCCCTTTATTTTTCGAGTCTCACTGAAATTGTTTAGAAATAAGTGATTCTATGTTAATGAAGGTCTTGTATTAACGATTATGTATAAAATTGTAATATAAATTTGTATCTTATCATTGATGTAGCTAAAATGGCATCTATTATGTTATATACAAACATTTTTCAAACAGAAGCGAAAAAGGACGTGATATACTTTAAACTGTTATGCACGTATTGAATGTACTTACAGATAAATAATTTATATTAATCCAAATTTGTTACAAAAACTAAATGCTAATCTTTTTTAATGGCTTGCCGCTTTTTGCTGTACTTTCCATAGCTTTGCAGAGAGAATAAAAATTGAAAAATTGGTCAGTTTGGTCGGTATTTTTTCGAAATTTTGACTTTAAAAAGTCGAAATAAATTAGTTAATTTTTTGTATATTTTATTCGTATAGGCTGGTTTATATAGGGGATACTTTAGATGAAACGAGCATCTGTGAACAACATTGTGTTCTTTTTATTTTTTTGATCACATTTCAATAAAAAATGGAAATGTGCGAGGTTTAGTCAAATGACTGCAGCTTAGCCGTTTAAAAAAGACATACAAGATTCCGTAAATTTCGTTTGAAATACGAATAAAATATAAAACAACAAAGTTTCGAAAAAAAAACCACAAAAAATTATACTATGCAACACCAGATGTACGCTTCGAGCCAAACCGACTTTCTTTAAACATTTTGTCAATGAATTATGTTTGTTTTTATATGGAAATGTTTTTTTAGAGCTAGTCTTTCATTTTTTCGCATAACTTAAGTATCTTATATCTCTTTTATTTGAACATTGCAATTCTAAAAAGCTGACTTTTATTAATTGGGCGTCGTTTAAGGTATTGTTTGCAATCGGTTCCTTCACAAATAACATTTACCGTTACTATATTTAAAAAATTTACCATACAATACACCATTGCAATACACAAATATAAACCATTATTCATATTTACAATATTACAATATTTTAGAGACCCAAATCCATCAGAAAATGTGGGTTTGAACAACAGCATAGAGATGTGAACCATTTTAAACTAAATGTATCAAATGTTAACGAAATATATGACCGAAGTAAATTCTTTTCGAGGGATTTCGATAAAAGTTGTTATCGATGAGTTCATTTAAATCTGTTTTTAGGAATACATTTTTAATTTGGAAAAAAAATTAGCTCTTTTATGTAAGCTTAACACGTTTAAATGTGAAAGGTTTGGTGTGGAACCAGGTTAAAATCGGAAACACGAAAAATGTGTTGTGCTGCAATATAATTAATAGATCTGCAAGGGTATCTAAAGCTTCTGTCGTTGAAAGTTGCATGTTGCTTGCTATACTTATATCTGTTTATAAAAAATTTAAGTAAGAGGTATTAAGAGGTATCATTAACTGGTAAAAAGAAATATTACTCTTTATAGTTAATTTTGAAAAAAAATGTAAGTACTTGAATCGACAATATACTTCTCTATAGCAGTTTATTTTGGTTAACTACTATAAATATTTGAAAATTAAAGTATATTTATAGAATAAGAAATCACACTTTTGATTTTGTTTGAAAAAAATTATTTTTACTTACTGTGTAAAGCTCGAGCTTTGTAATTTCAGTAATTCATATTATAATAGACACCTCGGACTCAATTTTAGAAAGTCCCAAACGGAAGTGATTTAATGCTCTTAAGGTTTTTGATTGTTGGGCCTTGGATGCGGAGCTTTAAGTTTCTTTCCAAAAGCATTCGGCTTTGTCGGTGATTTTGGGTTCGGATAGGAGCGTCGGAGTTTCGGCTGAAAGCAACGTCGGCTTAGATGAGAACGGCCGATAAGCGATCCGTTAGCCTGGATGGGGGCGGCGATAACAGATATTGACTAGAATATTTCTTTGCGACTATCACCAACTTCTGACATATATCTTTTTTGTCAGTATGATTATATTCTTGCACTTTTAAATTTGTAAATATTTTTAAATTTTGAAAGTCGATCTTTGTATGCATTCCGAACGATCTTTAGTTAAAAAACCTCTGGAAATATTAAAGCGGTCAAAAAATGTACCAGAATTAGGTGTTACAAAATCAGGCAGGCTCCAACTTACTTTTTCGTTTTGCTTTTCTCCTGCTTTTTTTAAATATTTTTTCATCGATATGTTTCACAGCGGTTAGCGCAAAACCGCAAAGTGTAGCTGCTCTGACCACTTATTTCCGAACCAAATTTCAGGTTTGGTTATGAAAAAGTTATTAAGAATTAATTAAGAAGGCTAAATTACGCTGGTAATGGCGTCAAATGAATGCATCAAGAAGTCATATATTTTTTTTCTTTTGCAAATAAGATTCGTTTTGTTTTATAAAAACCCGTTTTGTTATCATTTTGGAGAGGAAAATATTTCCGTTTTGAAAACTTTTGTGATAGTGAAAACCGGAGCCTGCTGGAATGCTTGACTTCCCAATTGCAACAAAGAGTGCCAAGAGTTGTTTAATTTCTTATTTCTCAATGTAAGTAACGGTATCGCAAGTGTATACGAATGAAATTTCGTTTTCACCAGATAAATAACACAAATGAATGCAAGTTGAACAAATCAAATGAATCTGTTGATGTAGATTCACTTGATTCTGGTGATTGTCAATATGACAATCGTATGCTGAAAATGTAAATTTATATGCTAGCGGTTCATGTACCAGTAACAAATGGTCGCCGCAATCGGTACTTAAACAAATTGGGCTTCGGAGATGTAAATACGTCAGAGTTTTCTTTCGTACTGATTTATTTAGAAATTATGTGAGGTTTATATACAGTTTGTATGGGCTATAATTGATTACTTAGTATCTTAGGGTGTTCCTTTGTTTCTAGGTAAAATATTGATACGTATATTTATTTACAACTAAACAATCTAACAGTAGATTATTTCAAGTTGAATGATAGTGCCATAAATATCTCAAGCCATGTATCTACAAATGCATCCAGCTGTCCGATGCATATTTATTTAGGTCAACGATGCAGATTGCATATGTTTTTATTTAGGTAATTTGGGTCATAATTATCATATATTTATTTAGGTAGCTGGGAGATCTTAACCGTTTATGGCTAGCCAGTTGTCTAGGTATAATCATACGATTTTGTCCTTTAATAAAATCGTATATTCTCCCGGTCGTTGAATATAGTATGTTCAACCATCATCAATATTGATCATAAACGGATGCCGCCTTTGAGTATTGTCGTCAATTTCCGGTGCGCTGGGTGTATCCCCGGCTGGGATGTGATTTTGTGCCACCCTTTTAATAGATTAATTATTGCAATGATCATGATAAAGATTAGTGCAATGTACATGGCATTATGATGATGATCGGTGGTTTCAAGGATGTGGGGTAATTCGAAACTATTAGGTGCTATCAGCTTCGTTTCCATTTGATAGAGCTCTTTGTAATTTATTTGTCTGTGTCCTTTTCCTCGGTGGTCTGTCTTCAGCTAATTCTTCATTTTCTGTTGAATCGTCGATTGGATGTTGGATCTCTCGTTTGAAAATCCCCTTTGCTGTTTTTACTTCAACCACTCCACTATGGTCCAGAATTCGTTTTTTTGGGCATAAAGTCGAAATTTTTATGTGAATGGATTACGTTTTTTCTTGAAAATTCTCAAATTCTCATACATATTAAAAATGAAAAAAAAAAATTATTTAGCTTCCCTGAAGATTTTGGCGAGCTTTTGAAAGTGAACAATCGATCAGCTGATTGTGGGAAAAAAATTGGCGCCAAATTACTTGTTTACATTTTTACGTGGCGATCGAGTAAATTTGCTCAAATAAATTCGGCTAAAAATGGAAAATGAAGATAAAGGTATGTAGTATCTAATGTATTTAGTTATTTTATGTGTAGTCCCAAGATTTAAGTGTTGTGCAATGTCCAATTTATGTGTATTTTTGTAGAAAATTTAACTGCGTCCCCTGTGTTTCGTAGAATATAACAAATGAACTGAGTTCTGCTGAGAAAAACTAACTATGTGAGTTTGTACCTACAAATGTTGTTGTTTGAGATGCCAAGCTTTTTTGGCACCTATGTGTTTCAAAAATGAAAAGAGATTTTGGGTTAAACTTTATAATTCGTATTTAATCTTGGTGGCTTAGCGGAAGCCGATTGCTTGCTATTGCCAGATAAACTTTATGCGAGATCGATATGCAACCAATGCGCAGAGGGGTTAGCATAGAACTAAACTATAGACGACGGCGTTAGATCAAAGTGACTGCCGAAGTGGCGGCAGCAGATCAAAGTAATTGCCGAAGTGGCGGCGGCAGAGAGCCCCTTTAGCGGGAGAGCGCAGCAGCTCTGCAGAAAGTCAACGCTTTACAACATAGGCGGCTCTCTCTGCTCATACAATAATAATGTTAAAGTTACGGTTATTATTCAGCGGCTGGCCCGAACATACTCCCCCCGTTGGGAGCTAGTCTCTCAACAGATTCCTTAAGGGGCAGCAAACATAGCCGAGTGACGGCCCTCCTGATGTTTCCTGAGGATGTCTTCAGGTCAGCGACGCGACACACTCCGTCCTTGCCCAAAACGACATCGACCACTCTAGCCAGTGGCCAACGCATTGGAGGAAGATTTTCGTCCTTCACCAGAACGAGGTCGTTCTTGCAGATGTTTTGCGCGGGGGTACGCCACTTCGCGCGCTCTTGCAAAAGAGTGAGATACTCTTCGCGCCAACGGCTCCAAAATATTTGTTGTAGTTGGGTGACCCGCTGCCAGCCATCCAGACGATTGTAGTTCAGCTTCGTTAGGTCAGGCTCGAGGATTTGCTCATGGGGGCCGCCTAAAAGTAGATGAGCAGGAGTCAAAACGTCTAAATCATCAGGATTTTCTGAAAGCGAGAGCAAAGGGCGAGAGTTAACAATTGCAGTGATCTGACAGATCAGAGTGCGCAGCTCGTCGAAGCTAAGCACAGATGGTCCAACTGAGCGGTACAGGTGATATTTTGCGGTCTTCACGGCCGCTTCCCATAACCCGCCAAAATGCGGAGAGCGAGGTGGGATGAAACGCCAGTCGATCGAGTCAGCCAAGCAGGATTCGTGGACCTCCTTCATATGCGGTTCGCTCAGACAAAGCTTCTTTAGCTCCAGAAGCTCGTTCTTGGCCCCAACGAAGTTTGTCGGATTGTCCGACCAAATTTGACTTGGCCTTCCTCGAGTGGAAGTAAAACGCTTTAGTGCGCCTAGAAACGATGCGGTGGTCAAATCCTTTACGAGCTCCATGTGTATAGCCTTGGAAGTGAAG